ATCCTCTAAATGCTCTCTAGCAAACTTCAGAAGGGCCTGGACTGTGACTGGACTGGAGTGTGTGCTTGGCGTTGTGGACAGGTGTCTTTTATACTGATAACGAGTTCAAACAGGTGCCATTAATACAGTTAACGAGTGGAGGACAGAGGAGGCTCTTAAAGAAGAAGTTACAGGTCTGTGAGAGCCAGAAATCTTGTTTGTTTGTAGGTGACCAAATACTTATTTTACAGAGGAATTTACCAATTAATTCATTAAAAATCCTACAATGTGATTTCCTGGATTCTTTCCTCCTATTCTGTCTCTCATAGTTGAAGTGTACCTAGGATGAAAATTACAGGCCTCTCATCTTTTTAAGTGGGAGAACTTGCACAATTGGTGGCTGACTAAATACTTTTTTTCCCCACTGTATATGAAGACATTCATCGTCAGTCCAAAATATGGCTCTTGAAAAGTGCACTCACTTTGGGTCTGGGGGTCCTTCAGCCAGAGGCTTCATGGAGAGTTTGCAGAGAGAGCGGAACACCAGGAAGGCGTCTTTCTGCAGGATGTGGGAGAACCGGGCGGCACCGTGGGGTCCTTGCAGAGCGTCAGCATCCTGAAAAGATAGGGGGTGTCAGTGTTACTCTTTTGAAAAACAACATGTCTACAGGAAACAAGAAAGAAAAGCAGCTCTGATTACTCTAGCCTAAACAGTTGGTTTGTTGGGACACTTCCATATTGATTGAGGTTTTTGGGAGAGCTCCGGGTGATTCCAGAGGTCTTGAGGTGGAGTCAGGAATGTTAGGGCAAACGTGCTCCCTGACATTTTTGTTATCCAACTCGTCACATTCTGGTGGCAGCGCTACATGTTTCTACTTTCAAACTTCACATAATATTCACTGAACTCTTCAACTTGCATGCCTGTTTAGTGTGTGACTGGTGACAGGAACTAGACAGTGTGGATGCTCACTTCAAAATGAAAGAAGTAGAATTGTTCTACTCAAAGAAGGGAAGCTTTCAGCTAATGTCAGGCCATGGTTGGCACTGCAGAGTGACAGAGTGCATGCATATGCAGGAAACGCTTACAAACTTGAATTCATTCAACTCTACTAAAAATGTCTGACCATCACATTTCTGATTTATTTGAGATGCGTCTTCTTGCCCGTAAATAACCAACACAACACGGTGCAAAATTGTTGCAAAACAACCAATTAAGAGTAAATGGCGTAAATAGTTATTTCCACATTGCTTCCCAATTGACTGTTTATAATAAATAAAACTACTGCGGTCTCTCACCAGCATATCTGTGGAGGAAACAGAAGAGCGGTCCTCAATGATGCCGTTCATCTGCTGACCCTCTGTTCTGACTCTGGGGGGAGTCACCTCTGTCTGCTCTTCCACAGGGGGGGCTGGGTGCTCACCTTCTGGAGGAAGGGAAAAAATGAGAGTTCCAGGTCATGCCAATCAAATAAAAACACTGTCACAGAATAGTGCATAGACATTTATCAGAACAGACAGACGTTCTAAACAACAGGATAACTCATAGAGAAAGTGATTTCTGACCTGTTCCACTGCGTGTCTGTGCCGGGGTCTGCTCCCCCTCCTCTGCTTCAGCCACTGCTGACTCAGCTGGATTTACATCGCTCTGCAGTTTGTCTCCTTCCTCAGCTGGCTCCGCTGCTGGAGGAGGCGCCTCTGCACCGCCATCTTCAAAAACCGAATCTGTTGTAAACAAATAACAGATGAAGGTTAAATAATGTATGAACGGAAAGCTTTACAATCTCCAATTATCATTTTCTCTTTGCCTTCTTTAAACCTTCAATTCAACCTGAAAGCTGGGGACATAAATTGACCCTACCTGTTGATGGTGTGATCTGTTCTTCAACCCCATTCTTTGGAGTTTTGCCGCTCTCAGGTTCTCCATTCGTTGACGGAGATTCTGAAGCTTGCTCCTGCTCGTGCTCCTGGTCCTGGTCAGAGGCTGGGGGTGGGGGCGTGGAGCTGGTGGTGTTGGTGGCAGTGAGGTCTGGAGAACTGGCTGCCGGGGAGGGGGAGCTCTGGGGCTCTGGAGTGAGTGTGCGGTCCGAGCGGGGGGAGCTGGACCGCAGGTTACCCGGGACCGGGGAGGGGTTCTGGGGGGGCAGGCGGAGCCGGTCCTTCTCCTGCTCCTGAGCCTCCAGAGCCTGCAGGAGAAGAGGAATTGTTCAATACAAGGGGTTTTGGAAGTTCAAGAGACATTTCATGAAAAAACATTTGTATTTATCATCATACAAATGACTCCTGATTAGCTGATTCACAACAAGGACCTCTGGAAGCCTATTTCAGCTAATACAATGTGTTGTAAAGTGATTCTCAAAATGAGAGTATCTTCAATTCATTTCTAGTATCAAAAGATATGAAGTATGAGACTGAGTATTGTATTTTGAGAACGTTTCCCGTGACTTAAGTGCCTATTTGTGTAAACTTCTTCTAAATTCACTAAAAGTATATAATCATAACATTTCAAAAAACTACAACTAAATAATTCCCTTAATGGAAATACTCAAAAGGGTACGTTTCAGGTGTTATATCTCTTGATTTATGTATCCTATTCAACTATAGTTTTAAATGTTTTATTAATATTTTATTACTAAAAGCTGAATTTTGTTAATGCTCAATTGACAATATTTTCAAATGTATGAATTATAGAAAAGAGAGACCAAAAATCGCTATGTAAAAATCTTTAACTCTAATTGCCTACTAAATAAAACATGAATGTTGGGGCTGGCTTTTATCCAATGTTCAGATTTCTGTTCTGAAAAATGTATACCCAGCTCTTTTTACAAATGTACTAAAGTCCCTTTTTGGCTTAACAACTTGACTTTAAAAAGAAGGTGCCATGGAGAAAGTATGGAAGGAGTAACAAAGTAAGAGCACTAACGGCCTGGCTCTCCATGCGTATGAAGATCACGTTGAGCATCTGTGTGAGCGTGGCCTTGGCCGTGGTCTGGTTGATGAGGTTGCGACTGGCCAGGTAGATGTTGTAGCAGGTTCTGACGGTGAGCAGCACGGTGCCCTCGTGGATCTCTATGTGGGGGGAGGTCACCGCCGTCAGCAGCGCCTGGACGGAGAGGAGGAAGTGGACAGTTATCAGACGGGTGTCATGTTAACGCTGCTGCGCCTGCTGAGTCACCGCTCTACTTCCCTACCTTAAGCCACAAGAGTGTAGTTTCTTAATCTTCTGCTGCAGAATACAACTTTCATTTTCAATGTTACAAGTAAGGTTCTATAAGTCAGGCTAAATAAACTGCACTGGAATTAAGGTCTCCTTTAGTAGTGAATGTAAGACAAATATATGCTGATAATAGGCTATAAATCTTTTGTCAACAGTGATTAAACGACATGCTTATTACAGCAAGAGAGACTTTGCCCTTTCCCAACAAGCAGGATATGTATTTGATTAACTAAGAGGAGACCCTGGCAGTACTGGATCGTACCTGCTGAGCAAACACAAGGAATGTTATCAACCCCAAGAGGTGACCAGGAAGGGCAAATGCATGTGGTCGGAGTCTGAGAAAGAAGTTTCAAATTTGCACTATTCAGGATGTATTATATGGCCGCATCATATACCAGGGCTTCTCAAACTCCGGACCAAGGACCGAACTGCAAATCAATCCGGACCGAACCCTGTGTCCCATTACAACACATTTAACTCATACAAAATAAAAGGGGGACTTCACTGGCATTGATCCGGACCAGTGACCTTGTATAAAATTCACAAGAGGACCTTTAATAAAAAAAGTTTGAGTACCTCTGTCATATACTAAGAAACAACTTTTTTACAAATCCAAAAATTTAAATAGTGAATATTTCAACCTTTTTTCTGCTAGAGTGAAACTTGTTCAACCTTTTCAGGAAGGATAATGACTCATCTGTAATGACTCTATGCTGCTTTTATGCTGTTAACATTATCTTAGTGGCAAAGAATGAAGGATGTCTAAAATCCATTTTAAGAAAACGAAATATTCATTGGCCTTATTTAAAATAATTGAATTAAGGATTACGTGGCTGATATTGTGACACATAAAAAAAGCATGATTAGTATGTATTTTATTTAAATACTCATAACCAACCCCAACTCCTCCCATATAACATGCAGAAACATATGTTCTCAGTTACAGTAAATAGTGACAGAATTGATGAGAAAAGTGTGTCCGTCCTGCCTGTTTGGCCCGCCTGGCTCTCAGATCAACAGCAGCAGTGACAGCTGGAGGACCTGAAGGCAGCCAGATGTGGAGGGGCTCTTGGTTTACCTTGATGATCTGCAGCTGGACTCCCTCGTCGGTCTGCGGGCCCTGGAAGCAGTTACAGACGGTTTCCATCAGCCGGTCGATCAGCCTCTTGCCCGGGGTCCGGCTGTCCGGGGCGTTGCCTGTGATGTGGCCGTACGCTATCAGCTTCTGAAGCGGGGAGAAACACAGCACAGGTTAGGGCAGCAGAGGCAGGGTGTGTGTGTGTAAGTCTATTATTATTATTATTATTATCAGTACTATTATTATATCTTTATTGAAGAAGGACTGGCATATAAACACATTATCCCAGATTAAGGTGAAACGTGACAATCAAAAAACATTGAAACTAAAATAGATCATATACAAATGCATAAAAATAAATACACATACATTTATCAATACAACTCTAAGGTTACAATTTGATTAAACTCAAATAACAGTCAAATTAATGTTGGCAAGAATGGTTGCTCAATATCAATTTTT